TTCTGACTTTTTCTAAATTTACCAAAAAAATAATGAATTTTTTATGCATTAAGTCATGTGTAGTATAGAGATTATAAATATATACACATATCACCTTTGTTAAATTATAGTAATGGAGAAAATGTACTATGACAAGTTGACAACTGTACAATATGTAAAATATATCAAATATATTGAAAGAAAAATTATTTATGACACATTACTGTTACTGTCTAACATCTCCGCATAAACATCGCTATGCGCAGAGAAAATTTGATTTTGGAGACACGTGCAATAACCAGTCTAGGTAAGTGCACCTTGGTAAGTATATCTTGCCCCAAAAAACAATTAGTTTCAAACTTTCAATGCGTTTGGTAAATTGGTAGCAACTTGAATAGTTTAAGATGAGTGTGAATAAAACAAACAATTTATGTCAATTGTGTTTGGTAACATAATTTTCAGGAACACCGAGAATAAGAGTACCAAGTAAGACGATTATATGAAATTCTATTATCAATGGTTAAAAAGGGCCAGTTCTTATTCTCAAGCATTATCATTCTTAGATTTTGATCTTTCTAAACGATCAAGTAAATATCACTTCGACCAAAATAGATGATACTATTGAGCCAGATACATCCAACTATAGTGAGAATTGTCATCAACAAAATAATAAAATATTTGAATGCGCCCATGGTAGCAATTGGAGCATGACAAGTACTGAATCACACGGTCTATCATACCTCTTAAGAAGAAAAAGAAGGGCTTCAAGTACAGTGGTCTCTAGAACTAGAAGCAGGTTTTGTAACATACCAAACTCTGACGCCCAAAAATGACAAGGTCATATTGTGCCAGTTTCTTTAACTTGATCCTCTTCTTAGCGGGATGCAGTAAAAGCAACGAGGTCCGGGAGAGCCAAATGTCCACGGAACCGCGATACTTAATAGTTTGGGCTTGAGTCTATGAATAGCTTTTGCTTAGAGTTTCTAAGTCTATTTATATTTTCCTTGAATTTGAGTGCTCTATCGGAGAAGAAAATAATAAATATTGGTGAGGCAGCTCACATCCAATCAAACAAGTCTCAATGTACAAGAAGTTCAATAACTAAAGCCTTTACAAAGGAGGACAAATTAACCCCATTTTTTGCATCAAACTAACTCCAACAATAGCACCCCCCACAAAAAAAATAAAACAATGCAGGAAAAGATTTTCTAAACATCATTCAGCAGTCTGTTGAACCTTTCTAATCATCTAGTTGAAACATCCCTGGATCCAACGCCATTTCAAAAAGTTCCACGGTGTCTAAATATTCCATTCCAAGAATATGTACAACAAACATCCAGAGTGAAATTTCCCACTGCAAAACTTACCCCTAATCACTGATTAAGGAAACCATCCATAGTCATAAGCAGAAAAGGTAATTCCAGGATATTATCTCTAGGAGCAGAAACACTACATGCCTTTATAAGCTACAAAATTATAAGGCTTTCATCAACTCTTCACCCGTTTTGTGGGTGGTGCAGCAAATTGGTTATCTCCCAGCTCATGTTCATCAGTTACTTTAGCAACATCTTCCTTTTGCTTTGTGCTTGCAACCTGGGAACTTTCTCCAGGCATGGTTTCTGGAGTGCTACTGTTGATTCCAAATTTTTCATGACCTTCATTTGAGGTTTCTACATTGCCAAGTGGAGGAGAAGGTAACACTACGTTTGATAGTGGAGCAGAAGGCTCCTCCAATTTGATCTGTTTCTCAAACATCATTCGAAGACGCTTCCCCTGGTTTTCAATTTGAATCTGCACCTCTCTTTGAATCTGCATGACATTTATAACATCAGAACATTACAAAACTTACAGCTTCCCTGTTGCCATCTTCCTTACAAAAGAGGGGAAACAAACAAAACTCCTCCACTGCAGGAAAATTACACGGTAAAGACAGAATTTAAGGTACTAATAAAGTACCTCAAGCTGTTCGTTCATCCGCTTTTGGAGTTCCATCTGCAACTGCAATGCTTCACAAATCCCCTTACTCCTGCAGCCACAATCCAAAGTATGTTTCTGAGCATTAATTATTCACTTCAATCAGTTCAATGCAATTAAAGCAAATGGAACATATTGGAAATTAGAACTGTAAATATCATAGCCATAGTGAACATTGGATCTGACTAGGCCAGTTTTTAGTTTTTAGCACACATCTGTATCAGGTTATGTCTTAATGTAAAGATCAATTCAACCCAAAAGTTTAACATGGTGGGTGAGGGCTTTTTAATGGTTTATATTATTCTCAAACATGCCCCCTTACATGAAAGCTCATTGGGCTTGAAGGATGGACAATGCACAGGCTCATCTACCTATGCTAAGAAATTCCATAAGAGAAAGTGGATGCGATGAGGATCAAATCCGGGACACAAGGCTCTGATACCATGTAAATAACCAATCTAACCCAAAAGATTAAGCTGATGAGTGAGAGTTTTTTAATGGTTTATACTATTCTCTAACACTTAAATTCAAATATATGATAATCAAGAAAAGTTACATGGAATGAACATTACACTCTTCCCTACGCATGCAGCAAGAGATGATCCAGACCAACAAAAAAGAACAATCAGCGCAATAAGGAAAAAAAAACTCCATAAAGGGGGGAACTCACGTTTTTAAGTCTAGAGAGTTCATTTCTTCAGTTGAAGTCAATTTTTTCTTACGAATTCCTGCAAGTTGGGAAGAAAAATTCATTCACACTATTATTCTCAGATTTACAAAAAAAGGTGCATTCTCATGTGCTTATCATGTGCGATGAAACCTTGAAGAGAATAGGAGAAAAGAACATAAAACACATAAAGAAGCATGCAAAAAGAGCTATGTAATTAAGAAGAAAACCTGGGTTATATGAACATTAGAACTGCTATGTAAACTTACACATACCTTCTGATGACTCAGGTTTGCATCTAGCATATCTATACTTCTGAAATTACAAGAACAAATAATTCATAAACCTTTGATTAAACAAACACACCGACAAAAGAGCTATTCAGTTAAAAAGAAGAAAAGTAAAAATGTACCTGCAGGTGGCTTTTAACATGATAGACGTTAAGGCCCTCAACTTTCATCAGGTTCAAGAGACCCTTTGGAGTAGCCTCTGCATGTTAACATCATAAGATGATGATGAGAAGAAACAAAAACCTGAAATATCTCTGCTAGTGAGAATGCCAAGAAGTACAAAATTATGGAGAAGTAAACATACTCTCACTACCACCAAGCTGATTGACTGCTTCCACGAAGGATTCATGAAGTTCAGGAGTCCAACGCATTCTTGGCTTCGTTTGTGGAGCAGTCTATACTGAATTAGGAAGAGCATTAACTTCTCTGGATGCTACATGCTCCCGCTGCTGTGAAACCCGTTGGATATACATTAATAATAAGGGAAAAGTGTCTATACTTTTAAATTACACAACTTATATCCTTTCACTCTCACAAAGAGGTGAGATCCACAACTTTATTTTTTTTTTGTCAACTCTATCTCCTCCTTTATCTATCTCTTTCTCTCTATTAAAATGACACAACTTTACATCCTTCAAAATTATACACACTTTTTCCTAATAATAATAGGGATAACTTCTATTTATAAATTTGGGTTTAGTGTTTTTCATTTTAAATGATACAATTTTGTGTCATTTTTAATGAAACTACGTCGTTTTATGTGTTTTGTCATTTTCTCTAATTTATAAAATTAAAAATTAAAAAATTAGAGGAGAGATAATGTAAAAATTTACAGAAACGACGTAGTTTCATTAAAAATGACACAAATTCGTGTCATTTAAAATGACAAACATTTTTCTCCATAAAATTTTTTTATTACAAGTTACACTATTTATTTTTATTTGGGGGAATACATGTTCAAGTGTTTGTACATATTTTAATTTGTAAACAAAAATTTGTAAATATAACTTTGCTCTTAATAATCTAATGCAAGTAACATCTTTACATTAATAATATAGTTTAAATAATATGTCTTAAATATAAATTCAATGAGCCATAGAAAGGATATTTGGGTTCATATGGAATGGAGCTCAATAATTTACATTAATTCTAGGATTTTTTCTAAGCTGTTGTAATATTTTCAAATATTTCTAAACTCTTCTATCTTAAACTCATAACCTCTAATAATTTCGAAGTAGTAATTTTGTATGAATGAATAAGGTGTCTATTTGAAGATCTCATCAAGAAAAACTCATAGGAATAATCATTTTCCTATTTCGACGGAAGGATTTGACAAGATCTGAGTTTGAAAATACTGCAACCCTAATCTTTCGGTCAAGATCCTAGAAATTTCAGCCAATTTCACAAGGTGAAACTCTTCGGGTTTTGTTCAACTCGTTGAGAGGATTATTTTGATTGGTCAATTGACTTAAATGGAGGTTGAACGTATGCGAAAAGAATATTCCAACTCACAAAGGAATATTCAGCAAGAATATTCCAGCAGACCAAGAAATATTCAGTCAATTAAGGAATATTCCATTAACAAGAGAATATTCTATCAACTAGAGAATATTCTGTTAGGGGATATTGCATTGACCGGGAGAATATTCTGTTAGGGAATATTTTGGTAACCAAGGAATATTCCGACAAGTTTTCCTACAACATAGGTAGTCCATTTTATGATTTTTGGGTGCTACGAATCCAGTTTTGGAGTCTATTTTGGCAAATTCTAATTCTACTGAGTGGTTTGACGAGAATTGAAGACTTTGCTCCATTTTGTGACATACCAAACTGTGAGGCCCAAAATGACAAAGTTATTATGCCTTATGATTCATGCTTTTGCCAATTTCTGTAAATTTCTCTTCCCCTCCTGCTGAAATCGTCCCGTGTCTGAGCCAAAATGATCCTCACGTCCATCTGAATTCTCAAGTCTCAATATACAAAAAGTTCAATAACTAAAGCAAGGGCTTACAAAGGGGACATATTAACCCCATTTGTTTACATCAAACTAACTCCAGCAATAGCACAACAAAAGAAATAAATAACGATGGATGAAAAGATTTTCTAAACTTCATTCAGCAGTTTGTCAAACCTTGTACAATATTCTAATCATCTAGTTGAAACAACCCTGGATCCAATGCTATTTCAAGAAGTTCCACGGTGTCTAAATATTCCCTTCCAAGAAAATATATACAACAAATATCTAGAGTGAAATTTCCCACTGCAAAACTTACTCCAAACCAAGGATCAGAAATAGAAACTCGAAACCAAATCACTGATTAAGGAAACAATCCATAGTCATTAGCAGAAAGGGAAATTCCAGCATATTATCTCAAGAAGCAGAAACACTAGCTGCCCTTATAAACTAGAGAGTTATTCTGTTTTCATAAACTCTTCAACCGTTTTGTGGGTGGTGCAGCAAATTGCTCATCTCCCAGCTCATGTTCTTCAGTAACTTTAGCATCATCTTCCTTTTGCTCTGTGCTTGCAACCTGGGAACTTTCTCCAGGCATGGTTTCTGGAGTGCTACTGTTGATTCCAAAATTTTCATGACCTTCATCTGAGGTCTCTAAATTGCCAACTGGAGGAGAAGGTAGCACTACGTTTGATAGTGGAGCAGAAGGCTCGTCAAATTTGACCTGTTTCTCAAACATCATCTCAAGACGCTTCCCTTGTTTTTCAATTTGAATCTGCAACTCTCTTTGAATCTGCATGATATTTATAATATCAGAACATTACAAAACTTACAGCTTCCCTGTTGTCATCTTCCTTACAAAAAAGGGGAACATAAACAAAACTCCTCCACCCCAGGATTACATGGTAAAGACAGAGAATCTTGAGTACTAACACAGTACCTCAAGCTGTTCGTGCAGCCGCTTTTGGAGTTCCATCTGCAACTGCAATGCTTCAGTAATCCCCTTAGTCCTGCAGCCACAACCCAAAGTATGTTTCTGAGCATTAATTATTCACTTCAATGCAATTAAAGCAAATGGAACATATTGGAAATGAGAACTGTATCATAGCCATGGTTATGTCTACAGTTCTCATGGAACAAACATTACACTCTGCTCTATGCATGCAGCAAGAGATGATCCACAGCAGCAAAAACGAACAATCAACGGAATAATCAAAAAATTCTACCTAAACGGGGGAACTCACGTTTTTAAGTCTAGAGACTTCATTTCTTCAATTGAAGTCAATTTTTTCTCAGGAATTCCTGCAAGTAGGGAAGAAAAAGTCATTCACACTATTATTCTCAGATTTACTGGAAAAAAAGGGGTGCATAATTATGTGTCTATTACGTGCAATAAAACCTTAAAGAGAATAAGAGAAAAGAACATTGAACACATAAGCATGCAAAAAGATCTATTTATATCGCAAACAAAACATGTTTCCTAAAACTTTAGGGGGTGAGGACTTAAAAAGCCTCATAAACCATAAATATAATTAATAAGAAAACCTGGTTATATGAACAGTAGAATTGCTATGTAAACTTACACATACCTTCTGATGACTCAGGTTTGCATCTGGCAGTTCTATACTTCTGGAATTACAAGAACAAATAATTCAGATACCTTAGATTAAATAAACACACCCACAAAAGGGCTATTTAGTGTAGACAAATATATATATCAAAGACAAGCCAGTGAAAAAGGAGAAAAATAAAAAATGTACCTGTAGGTGGCTTTTCACATGATAGATGGTAAGGCTCTCAACTTTCATCAGATTCAAGACACCCTTTGGAGTAGCCTCTGCATGTTAACACCATAAGATGACAAGAAACAAAAGCCTGAAATATTTCTGCTAGTCAGAATGTTAAGAAGTACAAAATTATGGAGAACTGAACATACTCTCACTACCACCAAGCTGAGTGACTGCTTCCACAAAGGCTTCATGAAGTTCAGGAGTCCAACGCATTCTTGGCTTATTTTGTGGTGCAGTCGATACTGAGATGGGAAGATCATTAACTTCTCTAGATGGTACAAGCTGCCGCTGCTGTGAAACCTGAGTGTCCTGCATCAAGAAAGAAGGATACATTTCTGCACCTTATACACTAAGATAAATAAATAAAAGATCGTGGCAAAGAAGTTACATTGCAAAATAATAGTAGATTTCAACTAATTAAGAAACATGTACAGGGTGAGAACGAAGAGGGAATTGACTATATAAACATACTCACGTGCATATGGTAATGAATCAAATTGAAAAAAGAACCTAGCAACTAAATGAACCAAAACATCCTCCCCATGCAGGGTGGTGGATGAAAGGGGAAAATAAGATAAGAGAACTGCATGGCAAGCTTTATGATTATGCCCATAACTGGATAGTTACAGAGAGTTATAGACATACTAATTGACTTTTTCATCTGCATAGCAACTTGTTCATATAGGAAAATCATGGTCCTTGGACCATATACAGGCATGGGAAGCCACCTACATGTTCTAGTGAACTTCACAAGTAAGAACAAGCATTTTAAGACCTTTCAGCATTATATCAAATCAGCTTAAGAAACAAACCTTTAATTTAGGTTCTACTAAATTATCATCACCGAGAAGTTGACCCCAATTTGGCTGAAGAGAATCCTCAACTGACATTAACTGATCAACCCACTCCCGGTAATCAGTTGTTTTGGTATCATCACCAGACATGTAAGAAGCACTATATTCCACGTGATCATTCTGTACGGTAACATGATCAGGAAACTGAAGGATATCCTGAAACGGATCGGGTCCCCAGGATATATCATCACTTTCTTGAGGGTGAGAAATGAATGTTGTAGAATTTTTTTCTGAAACACAGGACAAAGGGATGTCATCATGGCATTCAGCAGGGGTTGAAAACATGTGTCCAACACTTCTGATGTTGGAATTTATTGAGGCAGCCAACACTGACGAAGAGGGAAGAACAGGAAATGATGAAGACATAGCTCTGGAGGCTTCAAAGTGAATCAATCAGCTTTGTCTGACCTGATTACAATATGAAAAGTAGGTTGTATGTCAACGACTCAACCATTAATTAATGAGAGACTAGACAAAGTATACAGTAATTCCATTGGTCATTTGTTTGTATCTCAATAGTCAAGCGTCTAAGCTTGCGGTGCCTCTGAGAAGAAAATAGTTAAGTTACAAAAGCACCAGAAAACAGTAGAAGTAATGCTTGTGAGTATAATATATTCCTAAGAGTTATGGTAACAGGCCAAAATATGCAGGTGAATGCAGCAGTGTAACAACATTGATTTTTAACTGTTCACATAACCAAAGTCAACGCAAAACTGCAAAATACAAATTAGAGAGTGAAAGCCATAACGGAGAGCGGGGTAAAGGAGGGGTAAGTTGACCAATTTCACAAGTGACATCAAATTGGAATTTACCTTTCCCTACGCAATCACCATCTTAAACACCACCTATGAAGAACAAGGTATCCGCAGCACCAACACACTCCCCCTCACCTACCCAAATTAAATAATAATAATTATAATAATAATACTAAGAAACGAAACCTTGACAGTGTCACCGTGTGAAAAAAAACAGCAGAAGAAGCAGACTAAGCTCTTTTCAATCACGAATTAAAAGAGAAAGAACCAACCACACAAGACGCTTTTTTTTGCTTAGACCCCCATCACTGTAATCGTTTCAATTCAAATCAGAGAAGAAAATATCAAACCCACTAACAGAATTACAAAAATTTGCAAACTTTAATAAGCAGAGTGTGGATGGATAGACAAAACAGATTAACTATAAATCAGAATTGAATTGAGAAAAAACCAAACCGTGATCGAACCTGAAAGGAAGAATGCAGAAGACGAGGAACAGCAGTTTTAATGCAAAATACGTTTTGGGGATTGTCGTCCCATGAAACCAACGAGAGGACGTACGAAGGCTACCCCTTTTGCATTTATGATTGGATTTTAGTGGGAAATTCTCTTTCGCAAAATATAAGAGAAAATATAAAATGTTGTGCTCTACCTCACGCACAACAAAATGTTCAATCTGGACCGTCTGATGATGGGGTTCCAATGATTGTTGAGCAATTTAGAACTTGTTGACTCTGCTATATAAGGCTGAGGATAATCATGAAACATATTTTACCACAAAAAAATATAGATACATAGGTTGTTTAAATATGCTGACAGGATTCGATTCCTGGCCGTGCGTATGAAAAAAGACTTTGTTGAGAGAGGTTTATCCACCTAATGTGATCTCTCGCCTCGAAAGGATTAGTCTTCAGTTGTCGGCTGAAGGATGTCTTAGGAAATCAAATATATATATATATATATATATATATATTAATTTTAATTTTTTATCTTTTAAATTTTATAATTTACTATTCATAATGTTTTAATTAAAAATTTAATTAAAATGTCATATTAATTAAATCTTAAGCCTGTTATTAATTGAAAGTAATTGGATTGGGTTCAAATCTATAAAATTGACGAAATGAATGGGGTTAGGTTAAACGTATCAGTATTACTATACATGTTGGCTGCTAGTGATTTTGAAAGGCTGCTGATGTTATGAAATGAACTTGGACAAAAGTCCAAATTGTAATCATGTATATTCTTTTGTGAAGTTTACGGTCGCGCTTCTACGAAAATGAATGGAAACAATGATTATAACTAGCGTACCAGTACTCTATTTCCACCTTTGCTATTAGTATTATAATTTTACTATTTATTACCTGTGAAAGTTCCCCTTACACTGTATATGTTGAATAAGAGTTCCTTCGAATATTCCTTATTCCTAGTTTTTCAAAAACCCAATTACGATACATATAACGTTATACTTACTAAAATCACCCTTCACTCTATTATTAACCTATCGCTTCCTTGTGAGGAAAAAAGAGAGAGGAAGAATTCGTCAATGAATAATCGTATTTGAAGGTTTGTCAAAGCTGAACAAATTGATTCAGATTAAAAGATAATCTTTCATTATCAACTCTTAAAATATATCCATAATTTGTGGTTTTTATACTAAAGTAAGAAAATATTATTTATATGAATGGATGTAAGCACAATTGCAAACAATTCATGTGTCAAAATCAGATCAAAACAATGTGGAAAAAGATTCATTGGACTAAAAGTTTGTTTGGATTCTCTTATTTTTAAGCTAGAAGCTCTTATAAACTAAAGTTAAAAATAAGAACTTAAAAAAGGAAACTAAAAGCTGTTTGGAAATTATATAAAAATTTTAGCTTGAAAATTACTTAAAATCATATATTTCAAGAAAATTATCTCTCTCTATCTTTATCACTCTTTATTTTAAAAAAAAACACATAATTCAAGAAAAACAGATAAGAGCTTAAAAAAAAAACTCATCCTAAGAGCTTTTAGTTTTCAGCTTTTTTCTTCATTGTAAAAAAAAGAGTTTTTTGTTATAAGAGTTTTTCTCAAAACTTATTTAGCGTAACTTATGCTTAGAAATAGTTTCTAGTTTAAAAAAGAATATCCAAACAAGCACTAAGTAGTTAAGCACGCGAATCCCTACGAATTTGTTAGGCATCTTTCTTCGTAAGGCTTCTCTATCCAGATTCAGGGCCATAGAAAGCAACTTTTCGAAAAGTCATAACCATGATAAAAAGGCATGTGACTCAGCAAAGCAAAACCTTTGATTAATTTCATCCAACTTCATTCCCATTGGTACCTTAAAAAGAGATAGTACTGATAGCAACATTACAAGCATCCCACGAGGTCCTAGAAGGAACCAATAACCGCCGAGAGGAAGGTCCCTGAGGACTTGGAGACCAAACAACTCAAACCTTGTAATATATTTTTTTTGGAAAATATTACTCTTATTGTACATAAGATTATTTATCTCTTACTCTCTCACTTCGATTTCTGCACCTCATTATTTTTATTTTTATTTTTTTTTTATAATGGTGGGACCCACTTATTTTCTCTCTACAATAAAGGAGAATAATAAAACTCATTTTTTTTTTGAGGTAGGATATTCTATTATCAAATGTTTTTATTATCAATTTATTATTATTTTTCAGTCAATAATTTCTGAAATATTTTTGAAGAGAGAAAATAAAATAGTTTTTGATGTATTTTGGAGAATACATAATTATATTATATTAATAATTGATAGTAGGAAAATTATAGTTTGGACAATCTGTACATGATGCCATCCAATTAAGGACACAACAACAAAAAATTAATGGGGTTCTTTAAAATTTAATGATTGCATTTCTAGGTTGAGAATTTTTGTTCAGATATGCTTCGAGGCTTGGGACAAATTTTTGATGCACCAATTTGTGTCAAATGTTATTAAATTCGGCTTCATCTTTGACTCGGTTAAGGTATTGACTGAGTCATTCGATTACTGATTTAATCAATAGATTATTAGTTCAATCGTATTACCCGATAAATATATATAAATCTATAATTTATATTAGGGAAAAATGTTTCTGCAGTTAATGCAGATAAGTTATCTGCATTTATTTCCAAAATGACTTCGTTTTGGTATTGAAATCTTAAAAAATTATAAATATAAAGACTATTATAACCCTGAAATAAATTAAAATTACAAAAATACCATGATTTTCACCCCAAAATGACGTCGTATTGACTTACTGCAGATAACTTATCTACAGTAACTGTAGAAAAAACGAAGCCTTTATATTATAAACATATTCAAATACTTGTAAAAAAATATATCAATTAATATTTTAATATAAAAAAGGGATAGGATATTGTGACACCCAAGTTATGTTACGCCCATGTGACACCCAGTCAATCTCACCGTTAGATCGCTTATGTTGATCTAACGGTTATATTTATTTCCATCTTTGTATGGTCATGATTTCCCAAATTTAAAGTGAAAGCATTAAATATGGGAAATCATAACCATACAAAGGTAGAAATAAATATAAAATATTAAATTTGGGAAATCATGACCATACAAAGATGAAAATAAATATAACCGTTGGATCAACATAAACGATCTAACGGTGAGATTGACTGGGTGTCACATGAGTGTAACATAACTTAGATGTCACAATATCTTATCCTTATAAAAAATAATAAATCACACATGATTCAACCTTATTCAAGCTGTATCGTCTATGGGTTTGTGAGATACTTTTTCGCTTTCTTTCATTTTTGTCAGATACAACATTTTTTAGTCATATCCTTATATAAACTTTAAAATTGAAACAGATCCTCCTCAAACCCCATCACGTAGATCCTCAAAGTAAAAGTCAAAATCAAAATACCTCAATTTCGAATCCCTTATCTTCAAACCATAAAATCCCATCGCCTTTAAGTTTATCATTACCATATATTTTCATTTTTTATTCTAGAACCTTGTATAAGGTGCCACATTGGATTCAGTTGTAACAAACTTATTTCTCATTTCTTTCTTTCCACCTTCAGTAGGAATGTGTATATAACAACACTCACATGTAAAGCTCTGATGCAATGAATAACAATATGAATTTTCACTCTCTCTTTCTGTTTTCTGTTTCTAAAATAATATGGTATCAGTAGACGTTTCGCCCTTGCCTTCTCCATGGCTCGTGGCTCTAATACTAACAATACTGCTGCTGGTTCTCGTCCAGCTACTACATCTTCTGCTTCTTCTTCCTCTGTATCCATGGAGGATTCAAGTAGTCCTTATTTTTTGAGCAGTGGTGATCATCCTGGTCTCACTCTCGTTTCTCATGTTCTTCTTGGATCTAATTTTCATTCATGGAGCCGTGCTATGATGATTGCATTATCAGCGAAAAACAAATTGTTTTTCGTTGATGGTTCCCTTCCGCGCCCTGTTTCTGATGATCTCTTATTTCAGTCATGGAATCGTTGTAACTCCATGGTAACATCTTGGATCTTGAACTCTGTCTCGAAGGATATTTCTGACAGTCTTCTCTATTTTTCATCTGCATCCGAAATATGGACGGATCTTCGTAACCGTTTTCTTCAAGCCAATGGTCCAAAAATATTTCAGTTGAAGCAACAGATAGCGTCTCTTACTCAGGGTAGTCTTGATGTTAATGGATATTACACACGTCTTAAGATTCTTTGGGACGAATTCCAGGATTACTCTCCCATTCCTGCCTGTACTTGTGGTGCTTCACGCCTGATTTCAGCTTCTCACCAACAGGATCATGCTCTCCAATTTTTGATGGGACTGAACGATTCTTTCTCCTCTGTTCGGGCTCAAATTTTGCTCATGGAGCCCCTTCCACAATTATCAAGGATCTTCTCTCTCGTGCTTCAGGAGGAAAGGCAACGTCAAATTACGTGCCCTCTGCCGGTGTTACCTGATTCCCCTTTGCTTAACTCTGCATCTGCTGTGGCTTCATCCCCGATTCCTGGTTCTGCTCCAATGGCTGCCATATCCTCTGCTCCGTTTCGCAGATCTCGCCCTCAGTGCACTTACTGTCACAATTCTGGTCACACAAGGGAGAAGTGTTTTAAGCTTCATGGATTTCCCCCTGGGTACAAGCCCAAGTTTGTGCGGCCCAATCCACTAACTCCATCAGCCCATGCTATTTTTAACTCCCCTAATCCCACTATAGCTGAGTTACCTAATCCCACGTTGACTTCCTCTCAATACAACCATCTCTTAAGTCTTCTCCCACCTACCGTTCCGTCATCCTCATCCCCATCCTTCACGACACTGCCACCTGCCACCGAAGCTTCTCCTTCTGTTGCCAGCTTCAGCGGTAGGTGTTCTCCTTCGTTTCCTTTGACCTCTTGGGTTCTGGACACGGGTGCTACACATCATGTCACATGCACACCTCAATTTTTCATTTCACCACCTCACACATCTGATTCAGTTGTTTCTTTACCCAACAATACTTCTGTTTTTGTTCAATCTATTGGTAGCATCAAACTTTCCCCTTCCATTATACTACATAATGTCTTATATGTACCTTCTTTTTCATTTAAT